AGCAGTCGTGTCTTCGAAGAGCAGGAGCAGAAAATCATTGACATTATCCAATATCCTGTTTCTCAAATCACTCGAAGGCTACAATGTTGTCAGCCCCCGTTTTCGACGTTTTCCGCAAACCCAGATTCGACGAAAGCATCACTAAAGTGGAGTGGCGCACCTATTACCCATATGTGAAATCATTCGAAAACAATGATGTCATCGATATTACAGTCAATCAAGCAGATTCGTGGTTGGCCATGTTTGAAGGTATCATCACCATCAAGGGTAAATTGGTTGTGGCCGGAGGTGGTATTGGTACATTAACCCACAATGCTGGAGCCTATCTCTTTGATTCTTGTACCTATGAATTGTGCAATAAAGAATTGGACACTGTCAGATATCCTGGAATAACGAGTACTGTGCGAGGATACTTGTGTTACACACCTGAAGACTCACGCCATCTAGCCATAGCAGGCTGGAACTATCCCAATGCTCCGATTCTCAACGCCGATAAAACGTTCAGCATGAACATTCCACTGAAACATTTGTTTTCCATCTTTAACGATCATCAAGTGGCAACGTGGGGCAAGCAGTCTATCCGTTTAGTAAGAGCTCGTAATGATGCCAACAGTGTGAAGGTTGTCGAGAGAGCTAATACTGCTTTGCCAGGATCTCCTCAGACTCAGAGCACTGCTAAAATAACGATTGAAAGCATCAATTTGAAAGTGCCGCATCTTACACCCAACGATGACATAAAGTTGCAGTTGTTGACACGTATCAAGGCAGATGAGTCTATGATGATACCGTTCCGTCGATGGGAATTGCACGAGCTACCAGCACTCACACAAGGATCCACCATAGAAATCTGGTCGGTCAAGACGTGTTCTGCATTAGAGAGTCCCAGATATGTTATAGTATTTTTCCAAACGAAAAAAGCCGATAATTTGCATGAAGACGTCACCGTGTTCGATAATGCCAACATCAAATCCATACGATTGGCTCTGAATAGCGACTATTATCCGCAAGAAAGAATGCTATTGGACTTTTCCAAAGACCAATATGCCGACGCTCACTTCAACTATACAGAGTTCAACAAGAGCTATCATAACTGTCAACAAAAACGCTCTCTAGTGGATTTCAATGAATTCAAAACCCGACCAATGTTTGTTATCGATTGCTCGAGGCGCCATCTAGGCATGAAGTCGTCTACAGTTGACATAAAGTTGGACATTGAAGCGACGACAGGTTTCCCTCCCGACACCAAAGCCTATTGCATCATCGTTCACGACCAAATCATAGAACATCTCCCACTCAGCGAAATTGTTCGAAATATCACCTAGTTCTAGGTGTTGATGTCGCACCAGTCAGACGTCAGTTTGCTTCGAAGAGTCATGGAGATCGCACTGGTTGACATTCAAGGGTTCATGGTTGATGGTGAATTCATTCCAAAGGAAATGACCATTCGCATTGGCAAAAAGACGAGTCATCATCTATTCAAGCCATCTGTAGAGTTTTCCAGTTTAAGCAGAGAAGATAAAAAGATGGCAAATCATGTGGAGCGTTACGTTCATGGTTTAAAATATTCCAGTGGTTATGTGGATTTGAATGAGTTGGATCAAATTCTACGAGATAACCTACAGCAGACAAACATCATCTACATAAGAGGCCATCAAAAGATTCAGTTCTTGCAGCGAAAATGTGCAGGGTTGGAGATGACCAATCACATTGTTAATTTGGAAGATTTTGAAAATTCTTGGTGGCAGCCAATAACGTTTCAACAATCCATTCCACCTTGCATGAATCATTTCCATGGAGGAAGGTTCCAGTGCAGTCTCCACAATGTCGATACTTTATATAATTGGTTATGTAATTTATTGCCAAAATAAAAAACTTTATAATAATTTCAGAGTTTTTATTCATCACATCCCTTATTTCTCAGTATTCCAACAATAACATTTGAGATTAAAATGAGTGAACATATTAGTGTACAACAAAGTGTCAAAATTGCAATGATATTGACAGAATCTTGATCATCATCTAATTTTGCGGGTGATTTCTTCAATGTAAATGTCTGCCAGTCTCCCATTTCGCCGTCACTGCCATCAGAAAACGACAATTTCAATTTATAGTCGATGCTGCTTTCATTAACATGTTGTGGCATGTCGATTGAATATACAGGTAGTTTGTTATCATTGACATACATTCTAGTCATCATCTTCCAATCACAATGTTGTGTACGATTCACATCAAAACATACGGCTACATTCCTCGTATTGTACGGTATGTTTGTGTAGAAGACGTTGTTGCTCAGAGCTGTCAATAGAATGAAGCTTGCTTTCAGTATCGCCATCTAGTAGCTGTGTTGGTTGAATTCTTCGTCTTCTCGATGTAGGTGTAGCTGTGCGTCTCGGTTCTGCGAACACCTTATCCCAAACGCTCAGTTGCTCGAAATCTTTGAACAAACAAACTTTCTGCTCATACAATTGGATGTCTGCACTGAGCTGTCTAACCTTCAAACCAAATTCTTCTAGTGCACGTCTGTATTCGTCAGAAGACATGATACAACTGTTTTACACGTCCATACCTTCAATTCACATCCTATTACAACACTTTATCTCTCTTTCTCTCCCTCTTTCTCACTCTCTCTTCTTCTCCTCTTTTCTCTCTCTCCCTCTCTTTCTCGTACACATCCAGTCAAGTGTGAGGGTTCAAGAGGAAAGAGGAGAAGAAAAGTCTATTGATTGTTTCTATATTCTGAGTATAATAAAAAAATTTTTTCGCATTCTTCCACTCCCCACATACATCATATTGCAAACACCATCTGTCATACGTCATATGTCATGTATTACGTGACATCAGATATTTTTTGAAAATCTGACAACACCTTATCGACTTCATAAATAATAATTTCCAACAATGTGACGGTTATCGCTGCACACGACTCTTATCAGCGGAAGCTTCATTTGGTGTTGTGTGTATATTGTCGATAAAACTAACATAGAAATATTTCACCATAAATTTATTTCGATATAATACCGTCTTATCTCTAGAACGCATCTCTCGCTTTGCTCTACCTCTACAGATCCGTTGCAAAGATAAGCGCGCGCCAGCGATGGATATTATTTTCGACTCGAAGTTTCTTATCTCTGGAACGCATCTCTCGCTTTGCTCTACCTCTACAGATCCGTTGCAAAGATAAGCGCGCGCCAGCGACGGCATACAGAATAACAACTTTATGTGAATATTTCATCATAATTTATATTATTTCGTTAATTGCGATAAGGATTTTCAATCTACCGGAATGCGCGCGTGGTAATCGCAACAACAATGTTGCATAGCGTAATCATCGTAAGGGATCTTGTGCTTGCCGGTCTGCTCCAATGCTGCATGTAACATTCCAAACTATAATTAATATCATGTGGTGGTCGTGGCTCTGATGGCTGCGCGTCGGACTCGAGACTCGGGGACCCGAGATCGATTCCCAACACAGACCCAACACTTTTTTTATTCAATTCCAAATATAAATTGGATCGACGATGACGTCATCATACGAATAATGTATAACATGCAGGCGACTATCTATATTTGAATTTTGCGCCATTTGCAGACTTTCTAGACTTGAAGTTCGCGCCGTCGACAAAAGTAGTACAAACGTCTTATCAACCTATATATAGCTTTGCTCGCTGATCCTCTACGATCCCATTTGAATACGGTTTTCATAGTGAAACTTTCATGGCCTCCTGAATGGCTCAGTGTGTATATACGCTGCCTCATAATGCAAAGGTCCCGAGTTCGATCCCCAGCGGTGAAGGTTTTTTTTAAATTTATTCACGATGATGATGCCATGACGTCACACAATTTGAATTTCGCGCCATTTTCAGACTATCTAGACTTGAAGTTCGTGCCGTCGACAAAAGTAGAGGGGTGGGGAATGCTGCTCTCTGATTGGCTAGCCGAGTCACGTGGTAGGGTGGAGGAGTGGGGGTGGTTTCAAGACCGGGACTACCTACTATTCTAATTGGGGTTATTGAGTAATCTCAATGGAAGTCTTGCAAATACCTGCAATAAAATTTGGAGTCAAATCGTTTTTTTATTGTTTCCTCAAAAACTAAGCTGGATACAAAAATCACACAAAGAATGAAAAAGTTATCATTTCAATAGTTCAATCTGATAAAAATATGAAACTCAGAACAACCGGTGGTGTACCATGACATTCACCATGAATATCGATAAATTTACCCACTGTAACGCCACTGGAAATATTATTTCGGATCTAATTGAACTTGAAGAATCTCCATATCACTATCAACAAAACTACAACGTTGTATTATGAACTTTATTTGCCGAAATATCACAATAAGTAATCACCCCTTGAATTTTTTCGGTGTTATTTAGATGATTGTTCAAAAATACCCTCTCAATCACTTGTTCAGTCAATAATTTTGGGACTTCATACACGAGGGCGGCGTAAGCAATTTTTTTCCTCAGTATCACTTTTTTCTTATTTCAACAAGAACCCATTTATCGTGGGAATCATCAATTTTCAATACAAATTCGAATTTGATAGGACACGCCGCTGCATGCAAGCAAAATTCGATAATTGTCTAGAACAATGACATATTGAAAACCCATATTAATCTGAATCATGACTTGAAGAATGCATACATGTGAAAAGCGTTCCTCGAAATCTATTTTTACCGGCCAGATTTACAAATAATTTCCATAAATTCTCTCGAAAATCGTCCACAGACCGATCTGACTCTGTAGTTTTTCATGCCCGAAAATTGAGAATCAAGCTAGATAAATATATTTAGTGATGTATTTTTGGAAAGCTCTTGGAGGGATCCTACTAAAGATAAGTAAATATATAGAGGGTGTTCTTTTTAAATTCATACAAATAATCCTCAATAAGGCTGTTTTACGTTTTTTCCTACTGTCCAAAATAAAAGAGTTATAGAGAGTGGTTCTTCAGTACGTGTAGCCCGATACAAAATAGATCACCGAATGTAATGACCTACCTGGAATTTCTTGTGGACTGAGGAACTGTCGATATGTCTACCGATGTGGTCAATCAAAGTGAATACTGGATCCCAAGCCAAGTACTCCCTTTCATGTTTCAAGAACAGTGTCATGTTCAAAGCTGTGGCGAAACTGAGATCTCCAGCGTATGCGAGGTTCCAAGCATCATGCAACAGTTTAGCTCTTGTTGTTACTGGAATCTTTGTTCGATTCTCTGAGCACAAATATTTCGCCAATAAGCCCCAGTTGTGAGGATCATAGTTGACTGGAAATGGACCTGAAAAAAACAACTACCACTAGCTATAGAACCTATCATTGTTTACTCCTTTGGAAGGCGTGAATTGCGTTTTTACTACCAAGGTAGTTTTTGTCATTGTATGAACAAATAAAAACTATAAAGACAGAGCCACCCCTGTTACCCCTAATTTATAGATTCAATAACATATAACATGACGCAAGTCCTTCCGTTACACGATTGAAGATAAAACAGAGGATTTTTCCAGTACTTTGTGGAAACTTCACAAACATGGACAACGATTTGATTTCCACAAAATTCTCAAACACACGACATGTTTCGCTAACACAGTAGCTTCGTCAGGTGATATACTGGTACAATGAACTAAACTAACCTTGGCTTGCTTAACTTTTATACCGGGTGTCCCAGTATACCTGTTCCAATGGATTATCTCAGTCATTTCGAAAGTATAAAATTTGAAAATTTCATGATCTCCAATTCGTTCAAGGAACCTTCAACTAAGAAAAACGAGAATTAAAAGTCTAACTTCTTCATTTCAAATAGCACCCTGTATATTTTTTGCAATTCTTGCTTTCTACTCAAAATTACCTTTCCAACGATGTATCACACTTTGCATTTTACAATTGATTTGATAGAGAAAACGAAAATTGAAATTTGAAATCGAGAGAATTGCAGTAGACTATACGATATTTTGTGTACATAATGATTTGTTCCTCAATAATTGATGATTCATGAACAATTTTGCATTCGAGATGATGAAGGGAACGTCAAATTTCAAATTATTGTAGAAATATGTAGTAGAACTGGAAGAATTAATAATTCTTAAATGAAAACCTTAGTGTGCCATGGAAACATTTGAATACATTTGTTTGTATCTTTGACAGTTTATAATTCTCAATGGTTGTGTGCGACATTTAAGAATGAATAACCGTGAAAACGATATGATAACTTCACAATTCAAGAGAAATTGGATATGATACTGATTTTAATTCCAAATTTCAATTTGTCGTTTTCTTCATCATATCAAATGTAAAATATACAAAGTGTAATACATCGTTGGAAAGGCAATTTTGAGTAGAAAGCACAAATTGCAAGAAATATACAGGGTGCTATTTGAAATAAAGAAGTTAGAGTCTCGTTTTTCTCAGTCGAAGGTTCCTTGAACGAATTGGAGATCATGTAATTTTCAAATCTGTTACTTTCGAAATGACTGAGATAATCGATTGGAACAGGTATACTGGGACACCCGGTATATTCTACTTTCTCAACCTGAAGGATTAGTTACCTGTGGAGTTGACAGGTTCGAAAAACCTTCATTTTCGGAAATTAGGCACAATATCTACTTTAAAATACGGTGTGACCTCGGGTGTGACGGATTGACTTGAAAGGGTTGATATAGCAACTGAGAAAACAAATTCAATAGTGGTGAACTATTGGGGTCTAGATCGTTGAGTAAAATGTCAAAATTTTTCGAGTTTGTTGATTTCTAATGATTCAAAATGAAGAAGACACACAAGATACAGCCTCAGTGACTAGCTCTTTACGCACAGTTTTCGTTTATTCCGCCAGTATAGGTATGTCATGATCGCGCAATCGCCGTCAATAGCGGATGACATAACTGCCAAGAATTATAATTTAGCCTGTGTGTTCAAATTTTTTTTATGTACTTTATGGCCGTAGGTGATGTACAGTACGTAATGTGCGTAATATGCTTCTTACAACACATATGACGTATTATACTATCATTTTTTACGTGCAGAATTTCGAAATTATCGGTTGGCGTTTGTTGAATTTGTTTTCTTTATCGAAAAATTCATTTTATATTCATGAATGCGCTGATTAAACGTACGACCTATCTTACCGATATTTACCTCAGGACAAGAATCAACAGTTGAATTTGTAAACCCCTGATTTTTCGAATTCAGGAGTTTGGTCTTTATTATTTTTGATAAACCTTGCCTACGTGTTATTTGTTCTATATGCTACTTTTGAGTCCTGTTTATGTAGAAATGAAGCTATTTTTTCAGTTGATGATCCGAAATAGGTTGAAGTTCTATAATTTTGATTATTATTCTTGATGGTAGGATAAACTTCTTGAATAGCTTTATTATGAAGTTTTTTCAGAATGAATACTGTCTATCAAATTAACGTTGTATCCTTTGTTGACTGCAATCCGTTTTATGATATTGAGTTCTCTATTGGAATTTACTTCCAAAAGAGGGACATTCACTAGCCTGTGTATCATATATATTATATGCTGCAATTTTATTTTGATGAGGGTTTGTTTAATTATCATGAATAGTGATAGGTATCAGTGGGAGAAGATTTATGGAAAATTGAAAAATCATGTTTATCATTAATTTGACTCATAGTCAAATCTAAGAAATTGATTGACTTTGAATTTCATGTTTGGATGAATTGTATTGATATATTGGTGAAAACTGTTTAATTTGTCTATTGGTTCCTTTAAAGCATACTGTAACGTCATCTACGGATCTATACCAATACAAACATTGTTTTATCAATGAATATTTATGTATTATTCGCTCCAAGTTATCCATGAAAATTTCAGCAAGTATGGAGCTCACTGGATTTCCCATAATCAATCCTTTCGACGCGGAATATGTTTTTTCTATGACTGTTGAAAACTAGACCCTTCTTATGTAACATTTTTGTTGGGTAACTGGATGCATTACACAAAACAAGCCACGCCCCGTGTGTAAGAGCCTTTACACAACAGGCTATGGCCAATCAGCAACAAAGCAGATTCATTACCTACAAAACAGTTGACACCAGTTGTAATGATAATATGGGGCATTCAGTGAAACGTTTGAATCAGACTCGTCATGAAATGTCATAATTTGACAATACCTATCTGGCGTGATTTAGAACTGACTTTTTGTACAAATATGGATTCAGAAAGCGAAAATGAATTCAACTGCTCTCCACCATCAGAAGTTTCGAAAGCTGCCAATTCAAGTACAATCAGCCTTTTGCCCGAGGAATCTAAAAAAAGGTATGAAGTGGTTTGGCGAAAAACAAAACTTGCAAATTCGTTTTCGGATAATGTACTGCTAGCCTATTTTGGTGAATTAGCAGCTAAACACAAAGCATCCTCCTTGTGGTCACAGTATTCCATGCATATACTAAGAAGCACAATTTCAATGGGAAATTATGTGAATATTGACAAATATTTGAAATTACGAGCATTTCCGAAAAGGAAATCTGATCGATATATGTCAAAGAAAGCGAAGATATCCACTGCTGATGAACTCAACCAGTTCATCACTCAGTCATAGAAAAAGTATAGTATTCTACTTGCGTGTAATAATGGCTATTACTCATTCGAATGATTATGATGGCCATTACTCATTCTCATGAGTAATGGCCATCATTACACGCTCGTCGAATAATATACTATTGTTGTCAAATTGAAAGTAATTTTGTTTGAGACATATCGACAGAAGGTCCAAGATCTCTTGTTTGGTAATCGGATTAACATGGTTTTTATCTGATAACTCCTCAACTAAAATCATGGTATCTTCGGGAGGTATACTTGGAAATAGGTTTTGTACATCAAATGGAATGAATTTTGTCCGGTACACTGTATTTCAATGTAGATATTGTGCGTAATTTCCGGAAATGAAGGTTTATCGAACCTGTCCACAGGTACCTAATCCTTCAGGTTGACAAAGTAGAATATATAAAAGTTTAGCAAGCCAAGGTTAGTTCAGTTCATTGTACCAGTACATCAGCTGAAGAAGCTACTGATGATAAATTTGTGGCAATCTAATCATTTGGGAAGTTTTTACATTCGCCATAGAATTCCATCAAGTAACGGCCGAGTCAATTCAAAATTTAACACTGAACGTGGCTGTAACGCGAGAGATGCCCATTTTATTTTTTCTATGTTCGCGTTGTTGTTTATCGTATTATTCACACAAGGAATTGATTAATGATAATATATCAATGCGGAGTCATGAGAAGCCTCATCCAGAATATGTTATTCCATTTTAAATAAGTCAAACAGTTATAAGAAAAATAACAATGCTATCAATTGAGGTGACTATAGTCAGTTGAATGGAGATAGCATGGATATTGTACGGATTATAAATATATCTGGTATCTTCGATTCATTGATTCATCGATGATGAAGTAATTGATGCAAACCATTCTTCTGGAGAGATCATGTAAGATATATACCTATTTGTTGCTTTTTGTAATGTGATAGGTAAACTTCGCAACACTAATTTCGTCGCTCCCCAAAATGTTGCCCCTGTTATAATGTGAATACCTTTTTTCTGTTTTGAACAATTTGAATCCGGATCACTGTTTGATAGCCCAGCCCGTTAGCTATAATGTGGAACTTCTTTGAAACATAAGGGCCTCAACATAAAATCTCTACATGGTGTTTCCCGAATCCCGACACTGTGCAAAATTACGAAGCCTTCTTTTCAAACTATTTCCATTGATGAAATGAAATGGATAGTAGTGATAGTTCACCTCGCGGAACCTTGTACATTGTACTGAGTAGTGAAGAATATCCGTCACGTCACTTCACAGGGATCGACGGCGCTTTGTATGTTTCTTGCTGGAGCTGCTGCAATTTACTTTGGATAGACTATATCCAGAGATTATACATATACCTAATTTATTCCTCACAGACTATTTCCGGAAATCAACGATGAGGAAGAAGAATATACTGACCTATTTCTTCTGGATTGACAATAATGAAGGAATCTTTTCCTGGTAAGTTCTCGATTTGAACTTCCCTTTCCTTCCTCATCCAAGTGTATGGAGTGGTATTACCAAAGTGCATGGTATCTTGTCTGATAAGGACAACGGGAATCCACCAAAGGAATTTTTCCTGGTCTGGCACGTCATGGGGTCGTTCTCGTAGATAAACTCTCTGAAAACATGTATTTTTCAATTTCAGTAGTAGACTTCAAAACCTAGGGACTAAGGTAGAGCTTTTAATCCCGATGCGAAAAGTTTGTACAATTCACTGAAAGATACAATGATTCAGTCTTGAAAGAAACTAAGATTGAGATCATCAAAAAAAACAATGAAAGACAATACTCTCCATATACATTATCCATGTACTTTCAATCCCTGAAGGGTTCAATCCAACCAATTTTATTACGCAATTTATATGATATAGATGCTTATCACGAGATTAACCTGTTTTAACAAACCAAGATTCAGTATAGTTACGTGACTTGATACTGACAGAAGGAATCATCATAAGAAGAATAATATATATTTCATGGAAAGAATTTACACTGGTAAATTTCCGCTACAAGCTTCTATATAATATACTACACTGTTTTACCACTAACCAAACCGATTTTTTAACGCCTCGACACGTGTTTCGCTAACTATGTTAGCATCTTCAGGAGAAGATTAAAACTAAATATCCTATTCTACTGTGCTGCTTATATACTAGGTATATGTTCACCCAACTGTGAAAAATACTAACCGTCAAGTTAATATTTGTCATGGTTGAGTTCACATGTTAATCTTAATTTACTAAACTATATAGAGGGCTATATGGAATAGGTCCATTATCCTTATTCATTACTCTATCACTATTCTTAAATATCTCTAAGCTTTCATATGCGTCTAGTTTTCTAATGTTATTAACTTGCTTAACTAATTTGAGGTTAGTAATATGTGTGTTATGATTGTGATTGAACATATGTTCGGCTACACAAGATTTATCTAACCTGCCATATTTTAAATGGGCTATGTGTTCTTTGAACCTTGTTTTTATGGGTCGCCTGGTTTGGCCTATATATGTTTTATCACAATCATTACAACTTATTTCGTATATTCCCGACTTTTCAAGTGTGTCCACTTTATCTTTCGGATTGCCTAATAAATTCCCTAATTTTGACCCAGACTGATAAACGCTTTCAAAACCTAAGTCTTTGAAAACCTTATCAAGTCCTTTCGTATACTTGGGATTGTACGGGATTGGGATTCTTCTAGAGTTCTTTTTATCCGCTTGAAAAGTCGTAGAATATCGAAGTGTTGACTTAAATTTATGTCTACGTATTAATTTATCTACTATTTTGATATCATACCCATTGACGCCAGCCACTTTATAAACAACATTTCTTTCAGCATTGAATCTTTCTTTGCTGAGAGGAAAGGAAATCAATCTGTGTACTAGAAAATTTAAACTTGCCATTTTGTGCTGAAAACAGTGATTGGAGTCATTAGGTATGTATCTAAATGTGTTAGTTTCTTTTCTAAAGACATCAAATTCTAAGTTGTTTTCGCTATTTTTGATCACAAGTACATCTAAGAAAGGTAATTTGCCTTGATTTTCGCATTCATAAGTGAATTTGATAGAGGGGAAGCAGTTATTCAATTTTGAAATAAAGTTATCAATATCTGTGGTTTTTGTATCAAAAATAGCAAAAATATCATCGACATATCTAATCCAAACCCTAGGGAAATACTCGAACTTTTCTTTTGCATTCCCTTCAAATCGATTCATGAACAGTTCAGCCAGGAAAGGCGATAAACAATTTCCCATAGCTGTACCTTCATGTTGTTCAAAAAATTCTTGTTTATATTGAAAAATATTTTGGCTCATGCAGAGATTAGTGAGATCAACCAATTCTTTAATATTATCTGGATCTAGATTGTTATATTCGAGTAATTCCTTTAAATATTCCAAAGTTGTTGGTATGGGTACACTTGGGAAAAGTGATGAAACATCAAATGATATAAGGATTTCACCTTCGGTCAGATTCAACCCTTTGACCTTTTCGATAAATTCAAGCGAATTTGAAACAGAATGATTGTTATAAGGATTATTCAAAGTTTTGAAAACTTTGACCAACCACTTTGAAATATTGTAAGTAGGAGACCCAATTGCGGATACAATTGGCCTCATTTTCTTACCGGGTTTGTGTATTTTTGGTAAACAATATAGTCTTGGTACGCTTGGGTTAGATATTTGTAATTTATATTTATTATGTGCAGTAATAAGGTTTGGGCATTTATTCAAAATTGATTTGACTTGACTGACCATTTTAGGTAATGGATTCCTCGTTAGTTTCCTATAAGGACCATCTTCAATGAGATTGTCAACCCTTTGAAAATAATCCTGTTTATCCAAAATAACAACCTTATTACCTTTATCAGCTTTTAAGTAGAAACATTCTTTTTCTTTCAATCCTTTGATAATATTTTGAGTTTTCCGTTGGGAGTTATGTTTATGATTGATTACATTTTTGGAAATTTGTTTCCTAACCGCTTCTCTGGCAAATCCTTTTGAAGAATTAGGGAGATATTGAATCGCGGATTCAACACTCACTATTACTTCATCGAGACTGTCCTTTGAAGCAGAAGGGACAAAATTTAGGCCTTTATTCAGAAGGTTGAGTTCTTCATTACTAAAGGATTGAGAGGAATGGTTTTCAACAATGGTGATGGGCTCCTCATATATTGGTTTTGATTTATTTATTCCAAGTTTCTTCAGTTTTTTGTTCAGAGAGGAAAATTTCTGAATATATTTGACTTCAATTACGGCGAACATTTTTCTCTGGAATTCACACCATTGTTCAAACTCAATGTTACTTAGTCTATATGTTAGTTTTTTATAAATTTCGTATGCTTCAAGTTCAAGCATACTGCGTTTTCCATAGAGATATTTGATTTCTAAATCCAACCATTTCTGTTTTGCAAGAATTTCAACTTTCTTGGCAACATTTGAAGAATGTGGCAGAGTAATTTTCATGAAGTTCGGAAAGACTGAATGTTTTCGGCAAGATTTTAAGAACCAGATATCTGCACTAACTAAACTAATTTTAGTACTGACCTTGAAATACAAGTTCTGTTCCGTTGACCGTGAAGCCATCTTGATATATCGAAGACTGGAACCTTTGGCACGATAATATACTACACTGTTTTACCACTAACCAAACCGATTTTTTAACGCCTCGACACGTGTTTCGCTAACTATGTTAGCATCTTCAGGAGAAGATTAAAACTAAATATCCTATTCTACTGTGCTGCTTATATACTAGGTATATGTTCACCCAACTGTGAAAAATACTAACCGTCAAGTTAATATTTGTCATGGTTGAGTTCACATGTTAATCTTAATTTACTAAACTATATAGAGGGCTATATGGAATAGGTCCATTATCCTTATTCATTACTCTATCACTATTCTTAAATATCTCTAAGCTTTCATATGCGTCTAGTTTTCTAATGTTATTAACTTGCTTAACTAATTTGAGGTTAGTAATATGTGTGTTATGATTGTGATTGAACATATGTTCGGCTACACAAGATTTATCTAACCTGCCATATTTTAAATGGGCTATGTGTTCTTTGAACCTTGTTTTTATGGGTCGCCTGGTTTGGCCTATATATGTTTTATCACAATCATTACAACTTATTTCGTATATTCCCGACTTTTCAAGTGTGTCCACTTTATCTTTCGGATTGCCTAATAAATTCCCTAATTTTGACCCAGACTGATAAACGCTTTCAAAACCTAAGTCTTTGAAAACCTTATCAAGTCCTTTCGTATACTTGGGATTGTACGGGATTGGGATTCTTCTAGAGTTCTTTTTATCCGCTTGAAAAGTCGTAGAATATCGAAGTGTTGACTTAAATTTATGTCTACGTATTAATTTATCTACTATTTTGATATCATACCCATTGACGCCAGCCACTTTATAAACAACATTTCTTTCAGCATTGAATCTTTCTTTGCTGAGAGGAAAGGAAATCAATCTGTGTACTAGAAAATTTAAACTTGCCATTTTGTGCTGAAAACAGTGATTGGAGTCATTAGGTATGTATCTAAATGTGTTAGTTTCTTTTCTAAAGACATCAAATTCTAAGTTGTTTTCGCTATTTTTGAATGCAAAAGAAAAGTTCGAGTATTTCCCTAGGGTTTGGATTAGATATGTCGATGATATTTTTGCTATTTTTGATACAAAAACCACAGATATTGATAACTTTATTTCAAAATTGAATAACTGCTTCCCCTCTATCAAATTCACTTATGAATGCGAAAATCAAGGCAAATTACCTTTCTTAGATGTACTTGGATCAAAAATAGCGAAAACAACTTAGAATTTGATGTCTTTAGAAAAGAAACTAACACATTTAGATACATACCTAATGACTCCAATCACTGTTTTCAGCACAAAATGGCAAAGTTTAAATTTTCTAGTACACAGATTGATTTCCTTTCCTCTCAGCAAAGAAAGATTCAATGCTGAAAGAAATGTTGTTTATAAAGTGGCTGGCGTCAATGGGTATGATATCAAAATAGTAGATAAATTAATACGTAGACATAATTTAAGTCAACACTTCGATATTCTACGACTTTTCAAGCGGATAAAAGAACTCTAGAAGAATCCAATCCCGTACAATCCCAAGTATACGAAAGGACTTGATAGGTTTTCAAAGACTTAGGTTTTGAAAGCGTTTATCAGTCTGGGTCAAAATTAGGGAATTTATTAGGCAATCCGAAAGATAAAGTGGACACACTTGAAAAGTCGGGGAATATACGAAATAAGTTGTAATGATTGTGATAAAACATATATAGGCCAAACCAGGCGACCCATAAAAACAAGGTTCAAAGAACACATTGCCCATTTAAAATATGGCAGGTTAGATAAATCTTGTGTAGCCGAACATATGTTCAATCACAATCATAACACACATATTACTAACCTCAAATTAGTTAAGCAAGTTAATAACATTAGAAAACTAGACGCATATGAAAGCTTAGAGATATTTAAGAATAGTGATAGAGTAATGAATAAGGATAATGGACCTATTCCATATAGCCCTCTATATAGTTTAGTAAATTAGATTAACATGTGAACTCAACCATGACAAATATTAACTTGACGGTTAGTATTTTTCACA